GAGCTCAAGTTCTAGCTTCTTGGGGCCTCCTCGGAGCATCCTGGACTGCTTCTTGAAGTCGTCATGGGACCTTCTTGGCATGTCTTCGGGGGCCCCTTAGAAAGAGTTTTGAAGCCTTTTGGGTGCCGTCTTGGGGCCTCTTGGAGCCTCTTTTGGGCGGGCTTCTTGGGGGCCTCTTGGGGCCTCTTGGGGGCCTCCTGGGGCCTCTTGGGGGTTTCCTGGGGGCATCTTGGGGCCTCTTGGGGGCATTTTGGGGCGGAGAGCTTGATTTTTCAGTTCGCGTTCCCTCTCTTGGGCCCCTCTTGGTTGGGGCCTTCTTGGGACCCTCTTGCGCCGTCTTGGGCGGCTCTGGGGCCGTCTCGGGGCTCTCTCGGGCTATTTTGGGGCCCTCTTGGGGGCCTTTTGGAGCGATTTGGGGAGCCTTGGGAGGTGCTCTAGCGCCGGAAACACGAAACAGCGAGAATGCAAAAAAACATTGTAACAAAAAACAATGAAAATCAACGATTTTGCCCTCTCGGGGCGCTCTTGGGCGGCAACTTAAAGACCTCTTGGGGCGTCGTGGGGGCCTCCGGATCAGTTGAAAACGCATCATGCGTCGCCGGAGACCCCTGGACGGCGTCTTGGGGGTGTTTCGAAACCGCCTGGGGCCGCTGGGATTGCTGTCTGAGGGCTCCCCGGGGCGATTTTAAGCCTCCCAGAGGCGGGCCCGAGCCCGGGGCCCCACATTTGCGGTCGGGGCCCCGGCCCCCGGCCGCCGGATCCGGTCCTACGTTATTTATTTATATCTATCTCTCTATCTATATATATGTGTATATATATATGTAAATATAAAATGCACACATCTACATATACATATATACATATATACATATATACATCTACACATACATATACATTTACATGTGCATATACATATACATATCCACATACATACACATATACATATACATATACATGTACATATACGTGTAAACATACATATACATATACATATACATATACACATACATACACATATACATATAGGCCGCAGCACCCACCATGAACCCCCCTTTTCGCTTGGAACATGCCAAGAAAAAAGGGGGGCGGGTGCGGTTGGAGTTTCGGGTGTCGCGTCGTGTTGTGGCGGTAGGATCTGGAGTACATGTGTGTGTGTGTGTTGGAGACGGGGGGAGCCTGTTGAGTATCGGGTGTTGTGTTGGAGAAGAGGAGGCTGTTGAGTACTGGGTGTTGTGTTGGACACGGAGGGAGTTGAGTAGAAGGTTATTTTCAAGTTCAGCTTGGGGAGGGAGCCTGTTGAGTATCGGGTGTTGTGTTGGAGAAGGAGGCTGTTGAGTACTGGGTGTTGTGTTGGAGACGGAGGGAGTTGAGTAGAAGGTTCTTTTCAAGTTCAGCTTGGGGAGGGAGCCTGTTGAGTATCGGGTGTTGTGTTGGAGAAGGAGGCTGTTGAGTACTGGGTGTTGTGTTGGAGACGGAGGGAGTTGAGTAGAAGGGAGCTCAAAAGTCTTCCAAAAAAGAGCCTCAAAAGTGAGTCCGAAAATCGTAGGAATCATATATAATTCATACATAATCATGAGAATGGGGGGTTCTTGGTGCAGCTTGGGGAGGGAGCCTGTTGAGTATCGGGTGTTGTGTTGGAGAAGGAGGCTGTTGAGTACTGGGTGTTGTGTTGGAGACGGAGGGAGTTGAGTAGAAGGTTCTTTTCAAGTTCAGCTTGGGGAGGGAGCCTGTTGAGTATCGGGTGTTGTGTTGGAGAAGGAGGCTGTTGAGTACTGGGTGTTGTGTTGGAGACGGAGGGAGTTGAGTAGAAGGTTATTTTCAAGTTCAGCTTGGGGAGGGAGCCTGTTGAGTATCGGGTGTTGTGTTGGAGAAGGAGGCTGTTGAGTACTGGGTGTTGTGTTGGAGACGGAGGGAGTTGAGTAGAAGGTTCTTTTCAAGTTCAGCTTGGGGAGGGAGCCTGTTGAGTATCGGGTGCTGTGTTGGAGAAGGAGGCTGTTGAGTAATGGGTGTTGCGTTGGAGACGGAGGGAGTTGAGTAGAAGGGAGCCCAAAAGTCTGCCAAAAAAGAGCCTCAAACGTGAGTCCGAAAATGGTAGGAATCATAATTGAAATCATATATAATCATGAGAAACGGGGCTTCTTGGTGGGTTCACAGGGCTACATATACATATACATACACAAGTACATATACATATACCTATACATATACAAATACCTATACCTACACATATACATATACATCTGCATCTACATCTACATCTACATATACATCTACATCGACATCTACATCTAGCCCTGTGAACCCACCAAGAACCCCCCTTTCTCATGATTCTATACGATTTGGTATATGATTTCTACGATTTTCGGACTCACGTTTGAGGCTCTTTTTTGGAAGACTGTTTGGTCTGCCTTCTACTCAACTGCCTCCGTCTCCAACACAACACCCATTACTCAACAGCCTCCTTCTCCAACACAACACCCGATACTCAACAGGCTCCCTCCCCAAGCTGAACTTGAAAAGAACCTTCTACTCAACTCCCTCCGTCTCCAACACAACACCCAGTACTCAACAGCCTCCTTCTCCAACACAACACCCGATACTCAACAGGCTCCCTCCCCAAGCTGAACTTGAAAAGAACCTTCTACTCAACTCCCTCCGTCTCCAACACAACACCCAGTACTCAACAGCCTCCTTCTCCAAAACAACACCCGATACTCAACAGGCTCCCTCCCCAAGCTGCACCAAGAACCCCCCTTTCTCATGATCATATACGAACATATATATGATTCCTACGATTTTCAGACTCACTTTTGAGGCTCTTTTTTGGAAGACTTTTGAGCTCCCTTCTACTCAACTCCCTCCGTCTCCAACACAACACCCAGTACTCAACAGCCTCCTTCTCCAACACAACACCCGATACTCAACAGGCTCCCTCCCCAAGCTGAACTTGAAAAGAACCTTCTACTCAACTCCCTCCGTCTCCAACACAACACCCAGTACTCAACAGCCTCCTTCTCCAACACAACACCCGATACTCAACAGGCTCCCTCCCCAAGCTGAACTTGAAAATAACCTTCTACTCAACTCCCCCCGTGTCCAACACAACACCCAGTACTCAACAGCCTCCTCTTCCAACACAACAACCGATACTCAACAGGCTCCCCCCGTCTCCAACACACACACACACACACATGTACTCCAGATCCTACCACCACAACACGACGCGACACCCGAAATTCCAACCGCACCCGCCCCCCTTTTTTGGCATCTTCCTAGAGAAAAGGGGGGTTCATGGTGGGTGTTGCGGCCTACATATACATATACATATACATATACAAATACATATACATATGCATGTACATATACATGTACATATGCATATACATATACATATACATATACATATACATATACATATATACATATACATATACATATACATATACATATACATATACATATACATATACATATACATATACATATGCATATACATAAACATATACACATACCGATACACATACATATACATGTACGTATACATATACATATGCATATACATATACATGTACATATACATATACATGTACATGCACCTATACATACACATATACGTATACATTTACATGGACGTATACATATACATCTACATATACATATACGTAAACATATACATATACATATACATATACATGTACATATACCTATACCTATACCCATACATATGCCTGTACATATACATATACATATACATGTACATATACATATACATATACATATACATATACATATACCGAAACATAGACCTATACATGCACATATACATATACATACACATATACGTCTACAAATACATATACGTATACATATACCTATGCATCTACATATACATATGCATATACATACACATATACCTATACATGTACATATACAAATACAGATATACATATACATATATATAAATATACATATGTACATATACATATACATAGACATATACATATACATATACATATACATATACATATACATATACCTATACCTATACATATACATATACATAGACATATACATATACATATATATGTATGCATATATATATACATATACATATACCTATACGTAGACCTGTACATATACATATACACATACATATACAGATACATACATATACACATACATATACATATACACATACAAATTCCTACACATAAACATACACCTACACATACACATACACATACACGTATACATATACAGATACATATACATACACATATACATTTACATATACATACATCTTTATACATGTACATATTGATATACATATACATGTACATGTACATGTACATATACATATACGCATACTTATACAATCACCTATACATATACATATACATACACATATACATATACATATACATACACACATACATATATATATATATACCTGTACATACGCATATGCATATACATATACTATACATATACATATACATAAACATATACACATGCATATACATATACCTATGCACATACATATACATATACACATACACATATGTATACATATACATGTACATATACACATGCACGTGTACATATACATATACATATACGAATACTTCACATAAACACAACCATAAACATATATTGTATACACATATATATACATATATTTATACATGTATACACATATACATATGTACATATATACCTATATATATATATACATACATATATATATATCCATAGAGAACGCAAGACTGCAGTGCATCGGCGTTTCGCGCCATGCACTTTGGTCATTAGGCTGTCGGCTGTCGCATGCAGGCGAAATGAGAGAGAGAGGGAGAGCAACACAAAAAAATCTTGGATTCGTTCTGCAATGTTCGCTACCGTCGTTATCGTCATGATCTTCAGTAAATTACCCTTCCGCACATGTTCGTTCCCCTGTCCTAGTTCTGGCGCTTCCCTGCGAAGACCCCCCCGTCGTCCTTGTTTTTTGACCAAGCGAGGCACCATCCCCTGTTCAGAAGGTCCGTCCTAGCTGCGGTGTCTTGCGACCAGGCGAAGCGAATGGCGCCTCATAGCGCGCGACACCTGGAGCACTGACGAGAACTCAAGTAAAGGCAGCTTTAAAGGAATGCCACCCAGCTGTGCCTATGGCAAGCATTTCCTTATCCTGGGAACAAAAAAAGCAACAGCAACAGGAAATGAAAACAGTTGGACACGAAGCAAGCGGGACCTTAGCAAAACGGAGCCCCCCAGTTCTTCTGACAACCCCGGGGTCCGTGGAGTGCCCCGCCACGAGCCACTGTGAGCAACGTTCTCCTCAGGCACTAGGGACCGACCTGCTTGATGGCGAGAACAGAGGGCTGCACAAGGAAACAAAGAAAAATGCCCATATGAGGATCGCGGAGCACGACGCTCCTGTCGCATCGCGTTCGGCGATCGGAGGAGGAGGAGGACGACGACGAGGAGGAGGAGAAACATGAGGAGCAAGAGAAGGAGTAGGAGGAGGGGGATCCCAGTGGACCCGCACCAAAGGCCACTCCGGCGAAAAGGTCACTCGTCGGTGTCTGGCGGCGGCAGCGGCGGGAGCCTAAGCACCACGCGCGCCGCTCGGCTGCTGCATGGGCTCGAACGCCCGGCCGCCCGGCGCGCCCGCGGGCGCGGCGCCCCACACAGGCAGCGGCAGCCTGGGGCGCGGGTTCGCCGGCAGGTCGGGTGAGGGTGCGGAGCGACCCGGGGGGTCTGGCGCCTCGGCATGGAACGGGCAGAGCGCCGGCGCGCGGGGCGGCGCCTCGAGCAGGATCCCCGCAGAGGCCCTCAGCACAGACTCCATGGGAGAGCCGCCGGGCGGGGGCTTCGCCCAGCTGATGTGGACCCCGCCTGGGGTGGAGCCCTGTGCGGCATCTCGAGCCACCGACGGTTTCTCGGCCGCGCCCGGCGCGATGGCCAGCCGGAGACACCGCAGGGCTCCCAGGAGCACCGCTGGCCGGCGCCCGGCGGCGTGCGCGCACACGGCGTGGCAGAGCGCGACCTGCGCCGCGGGGGCCAGAGGCCAGCAGAGCGCCAGCTGCGCAAAGAGGGCCACGATCCAGTGGTCGACGTCGACCATGCAGACGTTCGCGAGAAACGCAAGGACCACCAGCACCGAGCCGATGAGCAGCACGACGCTGGCGAAAACACCGCCCGCCCTCACGAGGGCGGCGGTCACCACTGGAACGGCGAGCCCGCCCAGCGCGGCGATTCCGCAGTCGCCGAGCACGGTCTGGAGGTCGAGCTCCTGCCACAGGCCTGCGTCGGACAGCATGCAGGGCGCGATCACCGGGCCCTCGGCCCACGCAAGAAGCAGCAAGGCGCAGCACGCCAGGGACGCGAACAGCCCAGCCGCGCTCGCCACCGCGCGCCGTAGCCAGAGCCCCCCGTTGCCCAGGCAGTGCACCCACAGCCCGAGGACCGGGTGCAACGAGTAAAAGAGGTCCCACAGCCGCGCCTCCAGGCCGAGGCCCATGGCGAGGCGCTCCCCGCGCTCGAGCGCCCGCAGGGCGCGACGCAGCCTCTCGCCAATCCGCCCCGCACCGCTCTTGGGGTCGGCCTCGGCGGCGCGCCGGCCAAGGCGCTGCAGGTCCACACCGGTGACGCCCGCGTCCGCCAGTACGAGGAGGCTCAGGCACTTCAGGGTGGCCAATAGGCCGAGGCCCTCGGCGAGCGGCCTGCCCGCGAGCTCCTCGCGGCCGACCTCGACGCCGGACAGGCAGCAGGCCACGCGGATCGCCGCGGAGGAGAGGCGGGTGTGGTCAGGGAGGGTGCCGGCGGCGTGCGCGTCCCAGGCGGAGAGGCACGTATGCCGCAGCTCGGGGGTGCCGTCGCTGTACGGGCACTCGGCGCGCAGGATCGACTGCCAGAGCCCAGCGAAGGTCACCATCACGGCGACGGCCACCGACAGCAGCATCAGGAGCAGCACGCCGCGCTGCTGCCACCAGGGGCCCACGTGCACGGTGGTGGAGGTGGTGGAGCTCTCGCTTGTTGTGCTTCTGGTGGTTGCAGACGCCGTCGTGCTGGAAGAGGACGCCGTCGTGGTGGAACTCCCGCTGCGTGTGCTCGAAGAGGTGAGACTCGGGGTGGTAGAAGACACCGTCTTGCTTGAACTCTCGCTGGTTGTACTCGACGAGATTGTACTCGACGTTGTCGAGGACATGGTGGTGCTGGAACTCTGGCTGCCTGTTGTCAATGTGGTTGAAGACGCAGTCGTGCTGGTACTCTCGCTGGTTGTACTCGACGAGATTGTACTCGACGTTGTCAAGGACATGGTGGTGCTGGAACTCTGGCTGCCTGTTGTCAATGTGGTTGAAGACGCAGTTGTGCTGGTACTCTCGCTGGTTGTACTCGACGAGATTGTACTCGACGTTGTCGAGGACATGGTGGTGCTGGAACTCTGGCTGCCTGTTGTCAATGTGGTTGAAGACGCAGTTGTGCTGGTACTCTCGCTGACTGTGCTCGAAGAGGTTGGACTCGACGTGGTTAAAGACACCGTTGTGCTGGAACTCTGGCTGCCTGTGGTCGATATGGTTGAGGACACCGTCGTGCTCGTACTCTCGCTGACCGTGCTCGAAGAGGTTGGACTCGACGTTGTTAAAGACACAGTTGTGGACTGAGTCGTCCTGGAACTCTCGGAGGTTGTACTCCCCGTGGCCGAAGTCCCAGTGGTTATGGAAACCGTTGTGCCGGAACTCTCTGAGCTTGTACTCACTGTGGTCACAGTCCCTGTGGTTGCACTCTCTGTGGTCACGGTCCCTGTGGTTGAACTCACAGAGGTTGTGGACTGGGTCGTCCTGGAACTCTCGGAGGTTGTACTCACCGTGGCCGAGGTCCCAGTGGTTAAAGACACCGTTGTGCTGGAACTCTCCGAGGTTGTACTCACTGTGGTTGAGGTCACCGTTGTTGAACTCCCAGAGGTCGTAGACCGCGTCGTGCTGGAACTCTCGCTGGTTGTGGTTGCTGTCACAGTGGCGGAGGACCAGGTCGTGCTAGAAGTCTCACTGGTCGTAGTAAAGCACTCAGGGCAACCAAACATGCAGTAGGGGTTGGCGCCGCACTCAATACTCCAATCGGTGCTCAAAGATGGCCACGATCCTGTGCCGCAGTTTGCATGGCAAGTTCCCCCTTGCGAGCTACAAGGGCGGATTAGAAACACAACCAGCACCGTGATGCCTCCAGAAGAGAGCATATCTTGCAATGCAACGCACAAGCGTCACCATGCAATATGCATCATACCACGTTTGATTCAACAGCACACTTCCCCTTGCCTCTTGAACGCCCACAGCACGCTTCTTGATCCAAAGTTGAGCCAACATGGCTACGGAACTCCCCCGTCATCCTTGCTGATGTGTTTTTGCGCGGATGCTCCTCCTCGAAAGGTCCCTCTGGGGCCTCACGACAGCTTCATGGGGTTTCCTTGGGGGGGCCTCGGCCTCCTCCTCCTCCTCCTCCTCCCAGGAAAACAATTTGGGACCTATGGGGATCTCTTCAGGTCTGCACTCTACCTGGCAAGGAGCAACGGAAGGCCCCTGCGGGGCCCACGGGGCCCCTGCGGGGCCCTCCGTTGTTTTTTGTCCCTTGCTCCCCCACACCCCCAAGAGTCCTTCAGACAGCGGCCTTATCAGCAAGAGCAACAGAAAGACCAGGCTCGGTGATGGAAACTGCCGTTTCAGCGATTCCTCTCTGGCACCCCCCTTCGCTTGCAGGCAGAGCTTGGATCGCCTGGCGGCTGCACTGGGGGACGCCTATAGGAGATCGGCTCCTCTCTCGAGCCGCTGCGCAGGACACATGATTACGACTGCCTGGAAAAATATTCAACATGTCAGAATGATGGTTCGCTGACAGATCTCTGCAGCGGCGTCATTCGCAAAGCTCCACATAGCAATGGCAGCGACGTTTCGACGACAGCAGTAAGCTGAACACTCGCTACATAGAAGACGGGAGACCAGCAGCCAGTCGAACCGGTAGCGTCAAATTGAACGAAGAGAGATGCGACGACGAAGGTGACAAAGATAGCGACTACGACGGCGACCACGGCAACGAACAATGGCCCAGGGGAACAAAAAAACTGCACTGACATAAGCTCTCGGAGCTCCACGCGGACTTTGCGTGCCGGCACTGGGCCCCCCTCCCTGGTGCTGCCAGGGGGGCCCAGCACCCATCCAAGACCACCTGGTCTTGATGGGCCTGGGCAACTGTCCGCTGTGGTGGTTCCTTCGTTCGTTCGTCAGCGCCCATCCGAGACGTCCGCGCGGAGCTCCGAAAGGTCATGCTCAAGCAGTTGCTCCATCTTCGACGACGACGTTTGGACGTGGAGAGGCAGCCAAAAATGGAGAGCTGGGCAAGGGAATTATGATACCACCACGCCGCATGTGCAGAAGAGCAAACCCGTCGGCCCTTCGGGTCACCGGCCGCTGGGGCCTCCCCCGCCATCAGCTTCTTCCTTCGGGGGGGAGGGCGCGTCGTGTCACTTGACGACGGAGATGGCGCCTGGGGCACCCGTTCTGTGTTCCCCAGTTCTCCCCGCCTCCCGTCGGTCGGAAGAAGTGGGTAGAAACATGAAGCAGGAAGGCGTTGAGAGTAGATTGTCATGAGGACTGGGTTTCCGCCCGCCCCCTGAAGAGGAGGGAAGAGGGAAAACCACTCGACTTTTGAAGTACGAAGGCGGCTACAGCAGATTGCGGTCTGCATATCCCAGAGCACCTACTTGCAAAGACCGACGGGCACCCTACCGCGAAGCATTGGGGGGAGGGTCCTCAAGCCCCTGCGCCTCGAAAAAACAGGCTGACGGGCCCCAGGCCCCCGATTTCTAGGTTCTCTCTGACCTGGCGCTCTTGGGCGCTCTGGGGGCTCGTCGAGCGACTTTCCTCGAGACTTCGGGAGTGCATGCCTTAAAACGGCCCCGTGAGCCCATCCTGGAGCGACCTTGGGGGCCTCTTGAAATGTCTTGGAGGTTTGGGAGGCTGAAAACCACGAAGTTCACCCCCGCACAGAAAGTTTGGGCTGCTGTCTGAAGAAAAAGCTTGGCCGCAAGCCGAGGCCGCCTGGGCGTTAGTAATCTGGAGTACCCCGCCGCGCCCGCCAACGCGCACACCGCGGAGGACAAGAGAACGGGGACCACGACCAAGACCGAACGCGGAAACTTCGTGTCGATCTTTGTCACCGCCCATGTTTGTCAGCCTCAATTGGTGGAAAATCCGTGCGAATCGACGACGGCTGGCGTGCACCATGACGATGATCGGCGTCGACAAGATGCCGCGACATTTTGGTCATTGTCAGCGTGTTTTTTTTCCGTTGAACTAGGCTTAGGTCGGGCATGTCCTCCTACAGGGAAATTTTGGACGAAAAATGAAAAATGATTCAAGAGTTACCCTGGCGGCGTACCCATCCCTTGCGCAATGCGCGGCAACAAATCACCCCCGTTGGCTGTGCCATGCGCCCGTTGCACCCAAAGTGTCCCACAGCAGCTCTTGAAAGCCCCCGCGGGATACGTGTAGGCGCAATTGTATGGCCATCGCTTGGCAGATGGTCTGTTTCACAAATCACCCCCGTTGGCTGCGCCATGCGCCCGTCGCGCCTAACGTTTCCCACAGCAGCTCTCCAGAGCCCCCCCAGGGACGGCGAAGTCCCGTTCAGATTCCCGCGGTGCCTCACTCCGCAGGACCCACCAGCAGCCCTCGAAAGTGGCGACAACGTCGCACATCGCAGCCCCCTGGGGACGGCGAGGTCCCGCTCAGATCCCCGCGGTGCCTCACTCCGCAGGACCCACCAGCAGCCCTCGAAAGTGGCGACAGCGTCGCAGATCGCACCCCCCCAGGGACGGCGAGGTCCCGCTCAGATCCCCGCGGTGCCTCACTCCGCAGGACCCACCAGCAGCCCTCGAAAGTGGCGACAACGTCGCAGATCGCAGACCCCCAGGGATGGCCAGGTTCGCGCAAGGCAAGAGGAGACAAGACGGAAGCGGGAGACGGGAGGCGGGAGGAGGAGGAGGAGGAAAACTGGAGACCCCAGTGTTTTATTCAAAACGAATACCCAACCAAGGAAGGTTGGGAAATAGCCCCCCCCCCAAAAAAAAGTACTCAAAAACGTGAACGCCCGCGCTGGGGTGCCGCCGCGTGGACACGACACGGACCTGCCGCACCGGGCAGCTTTCGGGGCACAGCTCGGATCTCCAGCAGCCGTGCGGGACCATCAGGGCATCCACAGAACGCTCTCGGCGAGGCGCAGCTGCTGGAGAGCATCCCGAGGCTGGCAAACACCGGAGAACCAACGAAAACGCCCGCAAACGTCAAGCCTCGAACCCCCAACATCCGACCCCGAACCGCTGGGGCCGCCACCGCGCGCACGAACCTGCCGTATCCTGGCGGGGGTTGTCGCGGGGGCGGTGCCGCCAAGGCTCCCGAGCTTCCTGAGGGGGCCGCCTCGGCTGGGCCCTCCCGCGAACCAGGGTGCCCTGCTGTCTGCGCGAGGCACTCCGAGGGCAGATGTTGCATGAAATTGCGCAGAGCGCTTGTCTCGGTAAGCAACTCGCCGCGACGCCAGGAGCTGCTCTGACGGCACTTCCCGCGTCGCAGCGCACTGGCCTCCTCGGCGCGGCAAAGGAAAGGTTGCAATGGGCACTGACAGATCTGATGGGGACCTGCGCCACGCCCACGCAGGAAATATACAGATGCAGGGCGGGGCCAACGAAATCTGACTACTAAACATTCGGTTGGCGAAGGAGAGCAGGCAAGGGTCGCGCAGGAGACCCGATGGGAAATACGCAGATCCGGCAGAGCGCCCAGAGAAAACAGGTAATGATTCGATGAGAAGCCCTGGAAACATAACTAAACTGACTTACGGAAACGAGAATTCAGGCACCAGCGCCCAGAGACGGGGCGCGGGAGGGGCGGGGCGCGCGCGGCGGCCCCCGGGCCCCTTGCTCCGCGCTCGCGAAGCCGTCTCGATGGCCGCCGCAGTGTCCCTGGGCCGCGCGCGCAATGGAAGAAGGACCTGGCGGGCCGCCGCGCGCGCCGCGGCACTGGCCCAGGCTGCGCGGAAGAGAACAAATGCGCGAGGGGGCGGGGCGTCGCGCGCGACGGCCTTCGCGCCGGGGCGGCCGCGGGCTCGGAAGCCTCGGCCCATCGCGCAGAAAAAAAACAACTCTGCGCGAGGCGAGGGGGGCGGGGGCAGGGGCGCCGCGCGCGCGGCGGTTCTGTCCAATTCGGCGCGACAAGAGACAATTCGAGGCGGGCCGGGAACACAGCGCTCGGAGCAGCTCAAGCGATTCGCGGAGGGAACAACGCCGCGCGCGAGGGGCCTGGGCCGCTGCCCTGGCGGCCCCTGCCCATTCGAATCGGATGCGGAGCCGCGCGCGAGGGGGGCGGGGAAGCCGGTCGCGCGGCGCCCTGGCCGATTCAGCTTGACCAAACCAGATGGCGAAGGAGCAAGGCCGACGCGTTCGACGCGGCGGCGCCGCCGCAGCGGCGGCCGCCGAGCGCGCGGCAATGCTGGTCCAGTCTGCATGGGGAACGCGGCGCGCGCGGCGGCAGGGCCGCCGCGAGCGCGGCGACGCTGGTCACTTCTGAAGGGGAGCACGCCGCGCGCGCGGTGACTCCGCCGCCGCGCGCGCCCGCGACGGACTTGCCCCATTCTGCGCGCAGAAACGCGGCGCGCGAAGGGCGCGGCCGCCGCGGGCCCCGCGCCCCCTGTTCACGTTGAATGCATCGAAGAAACGTGCGCCAGAAAGGGAGGGGGGGGCGCGGCCGCCGCGCGCGAGCGCGGCGCCCCTGGCAAATCGCGCGCGACAGGATACCGCGCGCACGGGAGCAGGGCCGCCGCTCGCGACTGGGCAGGGCGGGGAGGGGGGGGGATGGGGGCAAGGCGGCCGCGCAGCGGCCCTGGCCCACTCTGAACGGGCCAGCGCGATGCGCGAGGGGACAAGGCCGCCGCGAGGGCCGCGGACCTGCTCCTTTCCAGATGGAGCACCCGAGCGCGCGAACGGGCAAGGCCGCCGCCCGCGCGAAAGCCCCGGCCGTTCCTGAGTTAGAAAACACAGCGCGCGTCAGAAAGCAGCACGGCCGCGCGCGCGGTGGCTCTTGCCAGTTCTGCGCGTCAGTGCAGTGCGCGAAGGGGCAGGCCCGCTGCTCGCGTGGCGGGCCTGCCCCGTGTCGCGTTGAAAAAACATCGCGGGCGAGCTGGGCGCGGCGGTCGCGCGCGCGGCGGTTTTGTTCGACGCGCGCGGAGAAAACGCCACGCGCGGGAAGGGGGCAGAGCCGCCGCGCGCGCGGCGCCCGCGGCCAATCCTGAATGCGCAGCTACGTCCGCAAGGGCGCAGGTCTGCCGCGCGCGCGTCGGCCCTG